GCTACCCCGCCAACGTCAGCCATTGTAAACCGAGACTGAAAAAACTAACCCTAAAAGGATAGATTCAAGAAAGAAGTGAAGGGAAGCTGTGGAGAGTAAAGGAGGAGTTGGGGTGGTATAAATAAGCTGGAAGCGAGTGAAAGGAAAGAGTAGGTTATGTCATGTGGAAGGCAGTAGCCCACAAGGGCCCTAGTATTTTAGAGAAAGGGCCTACATAGGTCCTTAAAAGACGTTATGTCGACGGTTAATAGCCTTCAAATGTTTTCGGTTGTCTCCCACATTCTTTTCTCTTCCACCACCCTTAGATGACACGACAACCTCTATTCCACGTAGAGAGGTTAGAGAGGGAAGGGGGTTAGAGAGGGAGACTATTATCTAACAGGTTTTTGTTTTGGCACCATGCCATTAATGATGATAATTAAGGGAGAGATGAGCCGCCATTGATAGATAGCGCGCACGAGTGGAGGTGGGAGTACCCCATGCGTTTTCATCCCTCATCGAACCCTTCAACCCCACCATATTATCTTCACATTTACACTCGTTACCAGACCTTTACATTTCTTGTATTTTTCTACATATTATTAAAAATTATTTCTAATTAATTAGTTTTTTTTTTTTGCGCTGGTGATTAAGACAATCACTTTTTCGTTAGAAAAAAAAAGAAAAAGCATATAATGATAAATATAAATTTAAAAATATAAAAAATCATCCATGAAACTTCATCTTTATATTTTTAATTTTATTCTCCCCACACTTAATAGATATATAAAAACCCTTTAATAATTTACTATACTTCCATTAATTTTAATATTATATAAAAAAAGATGTCAAAGTCCTTCAATAACTCACCATATTTATATCTATATTGTATTATATGACAATGATATTTTTCTCATTAATATATATATATATATATATTTCAATATATTTATTTTCAGAGTATTTCTCCATATTATTATTTTATTTTATCTCAAAAATTTATTGATTTAATCATTGAAGAGTCCATAAATTCACAAAAATAAACTTTTTACAGGTATTACGCATCCACCTACAACCATTTTGGCTAGAGAGAAGGGATTGAATTTTCAAAATTAAGAGATTAACTGATTATCCAAGACATAAGCCTTATCCATAAACTATTTAGATTTTTCAAAACCATCATCATTGATATTATATGTGGAAAACTAATAAAAAAGCCATCAGTTTTTTTTCTAATAACATTTTCAAGTCATTTAATGGCACATAACCATAACCATGACAAACCTTAGCTAAAATGCTTAATGGATTTACCTGTTACGGCAATCACTTTTACTTATTCAAAATTCCAACAGCTTATTAACCAAATGAAACCCCCCGCTTAGATTGTGTTGGTCGTTCAGGTGTAAAATTAGACTTTGTTACCTGAGCAAGTCTTAACACTCGTGGTAGCCCCATCCTTGAAAATGGTTGACCATGGATCTCTTTAGTGTAATAGCACTACTCTTCAAGGGATGGATCAGAGAGCCTCCTATGACCAAATAACAGGACAACAGTTTCACCTTTCATGGTAACTCGAGACGGTCAACCTCAACAAAACAACAGGACCGCTATTCTATGACCAAATATATACTACCAATGCTAACTAGAATTTAGATAATTAACACAGGTCTCCAAATAGGCTCTCAGACCTTATGTTATCTCTAGAGATATATCAAATATCTTGCTTAGGTTTGGACTCTCTCTCTCTTTCTCCCCCTCCCCCCCTCTCTTTTTTTAATAGAGAGCTCTCATGCCCCATGTCATCGCTAGAAAAACCACATGCCTCCAACTTTTAAAAAAATGCAAGAATTCTCTAAGAAAGAAAATGACTTGGTCTCCTTAGTGCAATAGCGCTGCCCTTCTTGGGTTCCTCTCCGCCCCTATGAAAACTTTTTAAAGATGGGTGTTAACATGAGTTTGTCCTCTTCGTTCCTTAAGAGTTTTTAAAGTATGTGCGTCGATAGGGATTCGTTCCCTTTAGCTTCTTAGAAATTTTTTCTAAATATAAGCTCACTCTCCTTGGGTTCCCCTCAACCATTTGTAAATTTTCTAAGTACAAGCTCCGTCTTTCATGGGTTTCTCTTAGCCTCTTAGAAAAAACATCATTGGGTTTCTCTACTTATAAGAAAAAAATTTTAAGTATAGATTCCTCTATGGTTTCACCTTGTTATCCTGAAAAATTTTATAAACATGGTTCCTTCATGGTTCAGTTCACCTCTAAATATTTAAAAAAAAAATTTCAAATATAGAGCATACCTCTACACATAAGCTCTTTGGTGTATTAATTAGGATCTTCACCCCACTTCTCATACTAAAAAAATCAACAAACTCATCGTACCTAGTACTTTTATAAGTCTTTGCGTATAAAAATCACATATACTTGAGAAGTTACTGATAAATTTAGATTTAAGGGCCTAACACCCCCCTCTAAAAAAAAAAAAAACAACACTCATACTAAAAAAATCAACAAACTCATCGTACCTAGTACTTTTATAAGTCTTTGCGTATAAAAATCACATATACTTGAGAAGTTACTGATAAATTTAGATTTAAGGGCCTAACACCCCCCTCTAAAAAAAAAAAACAACAACAACAACCTCTATTGAAGCTGAACTAAGGGAAGGACCAATTTTCTTTAGGCTCGATCAAAGAAAGGTTCAAACCTTTCTTGGGCTCAATTAAAGGAAATACCTACCTTCCTAGACTCAGCTGTATTTTGAATTTTATTCTCTACACTTATTAGATATATAAAAGTTTTTCAGGAACCTATCATATTTCTATCGATATTAATATCAAAGGCATATTATATTTTCATCAATATTAATACATATGTTAGATATTTTTTAAAAAAATATTGTTAGAACAATAATATTACACTTTAATATATCATCTCCATAAAAAGACTCATGTGCTATAACAACAAAATGTTCGAGATATCCATTTTTTACATCATATATATATATATAGATGAATAAAGCTCATTTAGATGCAGGTCCACCATTGTTAGAAAGGTAAAAAAAATGCACATCACTTTGGTAAAGGACCATAGTATAAATAAAAAGTAGCTGCCAACAGGAGGAATCCATCTGTTTTGTTAGCGGTCCTTTTTATATAACGGGCTTATACTATATAACATGAATGAAGAAATAACACTGTAATGTTACTAGTCGATCTCAGGTAGGAGAATTAAAGGTTAAAATATGATTAATTCTATAGGAAACTGATCCTACTCTCGAAGGGTCCTAATGAAGTGTTTCCACCAAGGTTCCCACTCCCAGAGCGAGCACAAATATGGGCTGTACTGAGATCAAATTGCTTTAAGAGACATGCTGCCCCCCCTCAATTGAGACCACCATCATTCTAAAATTCAAAAGAATAGGTCCTGGCCAGGAAGAATATGTTTAGCCTTTTCATGTTTATAAAGTGTTTCTATCTGACACCAATACTTTTACAATAAGCTCGTATGTTCGTATGCATAAGATATAATAATAAAAGTTGGGTCCTGTAAGAGAAGAACTTGGTCTGACGCTGCCTGCGTGAACCGGTCGGAGACCCCCCTGACCATTCCAGTTGTGATCTTAATTGCATTTGCCCAGCTTCATTCTCTTTTGGGTCACATAAGTACATGCCTGACAGCTAGAGTAGATTTTGTTAGCACGAGAGAATCTTCAAAGCCTGTGTGTCTGCCCGTTCGAGGTTTGAGTCGACTCGGTTGTTTGACTTGAATTTAAATTAATTAAACACCTTGAGATTTTATTTTCCTTTCATTAAAAGTTAAAGGCAAGAATTTTGACATGGTAATGATGCTTCTTCTGTAGTAGTGATGCTTTTTTAAATAGAAAAAAGTTGAGAAACATGGGATCTTTAATTATCATCCTTTATTTGGTTTTCGCAGCAGAAAGTAAGAGATCCCAAATATTCAGAATGGTAGGGCAAAGGAGCAATTAGAAAAGAGTGTAGTGTAGTGTAGTGGACTTTTATTTGTCTATGTTTCTGCCTCGTTATAGGGAAAGTAGAAAGATACCACCTCCAGCGGTTGCTTATGGAATTTCATCAAGATATCCTCTCCTTAACACCCACACCCACACACACACACCCACTTGAATATGCCATTATTAAATCTATCTTCCCCATCAATTTGAAAGTAAATTGTGGATGATGTTAATAGAAAGACAATAAACATGTTTCTTAGTACCTTTTATTTTTAAAATGTAAAAATTGTCTCAAAAAACATTTAAAGACACATTTATTTTATATCTTTATTTATGTTTCTTGAACTTAATATATTTTTATTTTTATTGTCTATGTTATTTCTATCATCAATATCTCTGCTTTTTCTATTCTGAAATATTAACCAAATGCAACATAAAATAATCATAAAAAAATAATTTTACAATCTTATTCTGAATATGAAAAATATACTTCATGTATCAAAATGAATAATTTTCTTGCATGGTATAATCCCATGCAAAAATAGCTAAGAATTTTTTTTTTTTTCCTTCTTTGTTGTATAGGTGACACTGACATTACATGTGCATGTAGAAAGGTAGGGTGTGGTCCAAAATCGCACCACCGGCTAAGCCTACAATCCCTACCCAAGAAACCATACTTTATAATTGTTTGGTACAGCCATGTGATGCTTGCGTGAATCTTCCTTAAACTTCATTATCAGAAACTGATTAAAGATCTGTGATATGTTTTGGCTAACCTTGCATGACCTCTACAGCCCTTTATCACTTCAGCTAGCTAGCTCTCAAGAAGGCGTGGAGAGAAGAGCAGATGTATATTAGGTTAAAAGTTAAAAAAATGCAGGAAATTATTGTTAACTGTGGGAGTCAAGTTGGCCCTGTCCTTGACCTTTCTTATATTTGCGTGATTAACTCATCTTAAATAGTAAGTACCAGCTTAATTATGAGTTTTCAAGCACGCAAGCATGCGCAGCTTCTCCTTAATGCGTGTAATTATCCATTATAATGCCCTTCTTAACTTCACTGTAAGGTAAGTTTGTGAATTAACCTTAAAAATAAGGAATAGTAGCAATAAAGATGGTTTTGAGATCCATAATAAGGCTCTAGATATTATTGACATGGACATAATTATGAAAGCAATTTGATATTATTAGTCTTGATATATGAAAGTTGATATGTTTAGTTTTAATATATGAAAATTGATATATGATAAATCTTGATTATTAAAAGAAAAATCAATGAACAAGTAACCTAATAACATCAAAAAATTATCTCAATGAAAATCAATGAACAAATAATTTAATAACATCAAAAAATTATCTCAACTCAAAAAATTAAATTATTAAATAAGACTTTAAGATATGATTTATATTATATTTTAATATATCTTCTCAAGTAAAATCTCTTTAAATTTGAAACTTGCACAAGCTAACTGTACCTTATACTATTCATTATTTTTAATTAAATAAATAAATAAAAATGATAAGATTTAAACTCGTGATTATTTGATCAATAAAGCTCAAGACTTGATTTACATTATTTTTTAATAAATAATACATATTAAAAAAAACCTATAGCAATACTTGCTTCTCAAAGAAAATAAATGTCTAGCTCTGTCTCCATTTAATTGAGGAAATTAATGGAAAAAATAACGTCCTCAACAATTCCATTAGTATATTTTATAGCTCAAAATTTATTTTAATTTAAACACCATGATTAAGACAATACACGAGAGCATTGAATGTCAACGAGAGTGATCATAAGCTAGATGAATGAATCTAGAACTATTTTCCTCACGCCATAACATCATGTTGAGCACTTTGAGGACAACGTGAAGCTTTGTGTTCCCATTAACCAATTTGCATGGACAATGTTGCCTTTTTTTCGATGATTCAATCTCTAAAATTGTTTGCTCATGTTAAGTATCTTCAATGTCGTTCCAGCTCTGCTTGAATCTTACCATTAGCATTTGGTTACCATTCAAAAGGTCCAGAGATTCATTCCAGTTTTAAGTGTGGAATCTTTCATCTTGAAGCTTACAAAGCTGCCTCTGATTTTGCAAACACGAGTCAGTAACTGAGTTTCTGCCCCTACTTGTGAGTGGGTCATTGTGAAGTCTTTCACCCGCTCTAGGCAAGTAGGCATGCTATACTGTAGAAGCTGGGACGGGATAGGGATTTTGGAAATGGGATTGTCAAAATGAGATTTAATTTTAGGGTAAATTTGAAAATAACATAAAATAATAATGAGTTTGTTGTATTTGATTAACTTTCGGTGGGTGCAGAATGTAGATAGCCTTCGATCCAAGGGTATATTAAAAAAAATAGAAGCTTATGAGTACTGATATGAAACGTCTTTCAAAATCCGGGGATGCCAAAAGCCCCCACCATAAAGTGCTTCTACCCTTGGATAGAAGAAGGTAAGGAGAACCAACCTATATTGTCTCTCTTTTGATAATGAGACGGGTCTTAAATACAGCTTCCACATTGAGTAAATTATTATTTAGTCCCTATTTTTTTAACAATTTTGTAAGTTAGTTTTTTTCCTTTAAAAAAAATCATAAGTTAGTTCCTTGATCAGAATCGATGGTTGATTTTTTTAAAGTATCCAAACTACCCTTTTAAAATTATTTTTTGGTTTTATTTGTAGCGGGTAAAACTGGAAACTTTGACTAGAAGAAATTAAATTGTAATTGAAAACTAACCGAAGGACTCGACTGAAAAAAAAAAACTACACATAATTGAACAAAAAGTTCGAGAAGGCACGAATGGAGACAGGAGAAAGAGCGGTGGAGGTACGATGAAACTGTAAATACAGCGAAAGTGCTTCGATCGTTTTCATCTGCAGAAGCTGATGTAAGTACCCTGTCCTGAGCCCTTGATTTATTTGCCTGAGTCCATATACCATGTCAATTCTCAAATATTCAAACAGCGTAGCATGGGCATCCATTTCTTCATCTGATATGATATTTGAACGATAGGCTACATGCCCCTGGCGACTAATGAATTAAGTTCTCTCTTTTTTCATAATGTCCCGTGAGAATTCAAGAGAAGTCTCGATAAATTCTGCGTGTAGGTCTTTGGACATAGACCTGACATACCGATATTTTAAATCCTGATTTTGACAGTCCGAATCGAGGACATGCCCTGATGAGCATATAAAATCCTGGAACAATGCTGCAACCCCTTTGATCCCTTTTTTTCCCCTCAAATTTTCCTGCGAGGATGAGGGAGGGGTGGATTTTTTTCGAAAAAAATCTTCCAAGACACCGAGACCGACTCATATATTAGGTATGTCGCTATGGATAGGTTCTGTTTGCCATCATATCCTCCTTCGAGACGAAGCTAATATCACCAACTCTTGCTCTCAACGATAAATTGCTTTTGGGGACAAAAAAACAACCACACCAGTTATGGAGTTCCATCTATCTCTTAAAGTCAGGAGATTGAGATTTAGATCCAAACCAGCTACCACCCCTTGGAAAGATCCCCATAGCCCTATGTGGGTTAGCTTTTTTCTGGTCTTCACTCTCTAGCAGATAGACGCACTAGGGCTTCTTTATTGCTTTCGTTTGGCTCTTTTGGTGCATAAAGTGATTCCACCCACCACGATATCACTATACAAGAGGTTAAGACAGAGATATTTGGTGAAAATAGTTTCACGATGCTTTTTTCAAGACACCCTACATGATTAGATAGGTTCATGTAATTTTTACAATTTTGCTTGTGACATAGTCTAGTGAATTTAAAGTAGTAAAGATTTTCTGTACCGAAAAAATAATTAAAGGGGTTTGATCAATTTTTTATTCATTGATGTCTATCGTTAATTTCTTTCTTTTTGACTGGGAATCTTTATTTATGATTGCGGCAATTAGTCGTCAAAATTGACTTCCTTGCTCATTTTGCGTGGCTCTTTCCTGCTTTTCGGCTTCTTCTTAGCTTTACCTCTATAAATTGATAAATTTGTGAAACATAAAGAAAATCTTCCTGGGAAGACACCTGATAGTACTAATTAAATACCATATCAATAGAACCACATGCTGGTCTAGGCCTTATCTAGAGAATTTTATATATTTAACATCATAGACATGACCTTCATCAAGCAATAAAAAAGAAATATAGAACTCGAGCACTCCATGAATCTGTAGCTATGCCGGGAATTTAAACCAATGGTGTTGCACCAGCACGCCCCAAAAGGGGAAAAAGATGCTCTCCAGAATTCGATTCCTGCTAGAAATTATGTGCATGGGAGATGATTTGATGTAGTGCTTGAAAACCAGTTATGGGAATTCAAGTTGCTTAAAGGGGATGATTGTGGAAGGCAACAAATTGTCCCTTTTTAGCATCTGCTTCTACTGAGGAAAGGTAGGAGGACTTGGGAAAGCAAAACCCTACTCTATATGCAACATTTTTCCTTTCAAAGTTATACCAATATAATGCAACCGTATCTGTTCATCCAGATTAATCTTCATGCACCCAAGCCGCCATTCAGTTTTTTTGGTAAAAAAGGGGGTCTAAGCCCAAAAAAACTAGAAAGAAAGAATCAGGTAGGTGTCTTAGCCGATGCATGCCCTACTCCATTCGGTTAGTTAAGGGTTCAAGGTTCAAGGTACTAAAGAGAATGGCCAAAAGTTCTGAGTACTTGCATTAGCTATCTGATAATAAACCAGAGAGATTGCAAAGAAGAAAATAGAGTTCACCAGCACAACTTTGCACTTTAATACACAAATGTAAGCGAAACACACAATAGTTTCACCACTAATGGAGCTGCTAGATCAGTCGATTCCAATAGTTGCCAGACATCAAATAACACATAACACATGGAACATGTAATTCCCTGGATGAAAAAAGATACCAAGAACCATATGGACAATAACCACACAAATACACATGAATAAGCACACGAGATAACTTAATGGCTTGTGTATTTGCTAGATCAGTCACTGCCGATGGTTGCCAGACACCAAAAGCACAAGGAACAAGCAAATCCCTGGACAAAACAAAATATCATAATCTTCATATTCTTATATCCAATAATAGCCACCAATACACAAGCCTGGTGGAATTTGACCCCGGGACTCCTATCAAAACAAGAACAAAGGAATGACAATCCACAAAAAAAATAAAAAAAAAATGACATGCTTATCTTGTAGGGCAAGTGTTTTAGTATCTAAGATATATTGTGGCGTGAAACCTCAAATACTATCCTCAATCAAAACCGTCTTAGACTCTCTCTCGCTCTCTCTCTCTCTTCATTTATTGCTTATGCACTTTAAGTATCCACGTTCATGGGAGTCACAGGTCTCCATTACCATTCCCTTTAAACTGCACCATTGTGAGAAAAGGGTCCCTTAACTGGGGTATCCCAAGCCCACCATACAATAAAAAGTCCAAGGTGGTGAAAGCATTCAATTGCATGCTCATTAATTTTTGAGAAGATGGTATTGGGATCCATGAGCCAAAGAAGCTACGAAAATCTTCCATAGGTGACAGAGGATTCCTATTAGATCATTCAGGGTCCTCATCACCGTTTGCGTGTCTAATAGGCAGAATCAGTGGGCAACGCGCCAGTGGCTCTCCGCACTCGACAAGAGCCCATTTAGAGCACGAATGTTGCGTTCAACATCCACTTGATAAGGCACTTCTTTGTATTCATGAAACATTTTCAATGTCAATGAGATCCGCAAGTTGTAGTGCATGAGTTGTCATATCAAAGCAAAACATGCAACTAATTAGCTATTAGAGATGTAATAAGCCCTGTATAATCACATGAAAAACTTATTTAGTAATTCACTGAACATAAAAATATTTATGGTATGCTCCAATAATAGCATCGAGAGTATGACACATGGCTCTTAAATAAATTCATTAATTATTTTAATCCTACATGACGAAAAATATATAATCTACTGGCATTCAAATTTGCTTGAAATTCTGTTTTTCCCATGGTATACAATTACAGGAATCATCTGCTTTTAAGTAGGTTATATATGATAGTTTTGTTGGGATATTGCCACTTATATGGTAGCATCTGCAGCCCTACTTTAGAAGAGGATTGTCATTGTTAAAAGCCTACAATAATAGGTGTGTATTATCAAACAAGATACACCAATTATTGATAAAATAGTGCAACCCATTTGTTACCACTATTTGTACCATAATTTATGGCCTCTTGTCTACCATTAAATTGCCTATAAATAGAAGCATTATTTGAGAGCAAAATGAGAAAGAGTGGAACAAGAGTGAAGAAGAGAGAAGGGCTACAGTAGCAGCAGCTACAAGTGCAGCAATGAGAGCTGGGAGTTGAATAAAGTGGATATGATCCTCCTCTTCTACATATTTGTATTGTATCATTTCTCTATCTTTAATAATATGAACATCTCCTGTGGATTTAGACAATTTGTCAAACCACGTTACATATAGTGTCATTGTGCTTAACCTTTAATAGGCAACTATCAGAACATCACTGGTCAGAACTCCCAACAATTAGTATCAAAGCATATGGTTTAAAGTGGTGTTTGATTTTTGTTCAAAAATAAAAGTTGTCATCATTGTGTTTTGACCATATCACTATGAAGAGGAGGAAAAAATGATCACACTAGTGAAAACGACGTCAAAATCTAACATCGAACATGGCTGCACGCACCGGTGAGGTGGTTGCCCACATGCACAAGCACACCCCACGCGTGTCACGCATCTTCTTCGCTCGAATGAGCTGACCTGACCCGAATATCAGACGACCTAACCCACGTGATTGACATTTTTAGAGGATGACATCATCATGACGTAAGCATGTCGTCAGCATGCACAATTGATATGTCATGTCAATGCCTAGTCAACTGACACGTCATCACAGTGAGACCCACCTGCCATGTCATCAAATGCGAGCCGAGTTGGAGCAAAGAAAAAGGATACAGTGTAACTGATCCTACATGCAACCGAATCTGAGATTGAATATGGGTCGCTTATCAGGCTAAAATTATTTTCAGCTAATTTGATCACTCTGGATGCAATGGTATGGTCTGATTGTTGAGATTAAAACAAAAAATAATGGTGGTAAATTATTAAGATATATTGCCCGATCAAGAGGCATCTAGCGGTCATCAAGGTGGTTAATGGAGATGAAAAAAAAAAGGTCTCACATGTTTTCCAAATTACATGTGTTGAACTGTTAAATAAGGAGATTTTTTATTTGCCTTGAAGGAATGCAAAATTAGAACACTATGGACACCTAATCATGTGGACCATTTGAGGTGGAGAGTGGAAATTAATAGAGATCAATCTTGATGAATCTAAGCACTGGTAGTCTCGTCAGATGTTGAAAAATCAGGTATAAAACCAATATATTCCAGATTACTTGTAAAGAAAAGCTGCATCACTTGTAAAGGAAAGCCACAACAAAGCAAACAAATGGTTGTATATACAGCAAAGCGGTACAATGGATAGATATGGCCTAAAAGGTTCTGTCTAGGAGATTGGGTTTTAAAAGGGACCAGTATGACCCCTCTAATCTTTCCTGGGAACTTGTTTGGTTGAAGGATTATCCATACGGTACTATTTTCATATATATAGCAGTTTGTAATGAAACTGTTGAAGACTAGCAAGATGACAGCACAAAGGGAATAGTTGGGTTCTATATGATCAAAGATATGATGTAATGGTGATTTCTAAAAAAAATAGATTTGGTGACTGTGATTTATCGAGGGATGAATTGATGAAGACCCTAATAATGAAAGAAAAATACAGCAAGGGAATAAAAATTGGTATTCTATTTTGACTTGGATAGGTGTTGTGACAGAATGAGTTGCTGTCAAACATAAACAAGAAATAGAAAGAATCTGAATAACAGAAATTGTACAAGGGAACACGGGGATTGTGTAGAAGTACCTGTAGGATTCAATAAGGTATTGTAATGAGACGATAAGTGTAAAGAGAAGAAGAGTTCTCATATGAAGCTTAGAGTAAAGACTGTGTGAAAAGTTGTATAACAAGAAGTCTCTTGTGCTCTTGATAAAGGCAACAGGCGAGGACCTTTTCAATGCATTTAGGGATGGAAAGATAAGCTATTGCAGAAGTACCTAATTGAGGGGGTGCGACCACTTATGATGAAAGACGAATACACCAAAGAGAACTGGTATAGGTGGAGTTGTCAAGTGTGATGATGAAAGGCATAGAAGCTCCAAACATAGAAATCAAAATAGAGGATTGTAAGGAATTTACCGCAACTCTCTCTTTCTAAGTGATCAATGACAGTGATCTCTCCCAAATACCCATAGTGGTAGAGAATCTTGTAGCTATTAGAGTCATCCCCGATAAAGAAGGATGAGATTGCCCTATAACGAGCGAAAACACCTCAAAAAAAGTTGTGTGGGCCATGATATAAGCCCAAGTACAAATCATCTCCTGACGACATGCAAAGACTCTTTAGACAGAAGGTGTGAGGACTATGATATGAGTCCAAAATTAAACTGTTTTATGACTACAGACATAGACACCTCAAGAGGTGTGAGGGCCATGATAAGAGCCCAAGTTTAGAACGCCCAAAGCCAATGCGATGGCTAAATATAAATGGACAAGTGTGTAGCCAATAAAGTGGTTATAATGAGTATGAAGACAAATATCGAATTGACTTTGATGGATATTGCCCAAACAAATACTGAATTGGCTTTGATGGATATTGCCCCCATGCTAAAGATCAATGAGCTAGAAGACATTTGCTTTGGACAATAAATGGATGACTTATAAAGCATTAAGACGTGACTGCTAGGAATGAGTAGAGGGCATGTGCAGATTCCTGAAACAAGTTGCTCATGTTAAGATGGTGAGCTTGGTAATGACATTATAATACTCAAAGTATGAAGATAGATATATATATCAACCTTTAATGTACAGCCCCCATAGTTAAAGGTGGAGAGCTACCAGGACTTTTAGGACTAAGAACGAGAGACTCACGGAGAAGTAAGGCATGGTTTCTATGGTGGAATAGAGGGCAGACACAACTCCTAGATAAGTAAACTCTTGAAAGAGTAGTCAACTCGTGATCATATTGAGATACTCAAATAATGATTGTCGCACTTTAGAATAGAAATTTCCGTTTAAGGGGGTGTTATAAGCCTTGGAATGAAACTTGAAAAATCATTCCAAACAGAACATGATTGATACGCTTGAAGGAAAATGTTATGTCTCAGAGACAAGCGTTAACACTTTTTAGATGTGATATAGAAGACCATTTGGTTAAAGTGATCTTTTGGTATGAGCAAGGGAGTGCTTAGGTGACTTTGGTAATTGAAAGGTTTGACGAGTACACTCAAACTTGGTCGGAGATGCTCTCAAAATGATAAGCTTGGAAAAGCTGCAAGATCCAAGCTTATGCTAAAGAAGCAAAAGGATAATTGCCCACATGAATGGCAAAGAGGGTGATTGTTGGGATATTGTCACTTATGTAGCAACATTTGCAACCCTACTCTAGGAAAAGATTGTTATTTTCAAAAGCCTGTAATGGTAGGTGTGTATTATCAAACAAGTTGCATCGACCATTGATAAAATGGTGCAACTCATGTGCTACCACCATTTGTGCCATAATTTATAGCCTCTTATCTGCCATTGAATTGCTTATAAATAGAGGCATTATATGAGAGCAAAATGAGAGAGAGTGGAACAAGAGTAAAAAAAAGAAAAGGGTTGTCATTGCAGTAGCTGCAAGTGCAACAATGAGAGTTGGGAGTTGAGTAGAGTAAATGTGATTCTTTTTCTTCATGTATTTGTATTATATCCTTTCTCTATCTTTAATAATATGGACCTCTCTCATAGATGTATATAATTTGTTGAACCACATTAAATATTATATCAATGTGCTTAGCCTTCGATGAACAACTATCAGAACATCACTGGTTAAAATCCCAACAAGTTTTACAATATAAGTATTTCACAAACTTTGTAAGCATTCCTCGTACCTTCTTGCCAAATTATAGAAAAGGATATGTTCTATAGCATCAATAAAAGCCAATTTCTCACCATTTGCTTTCATTGTATACGTGATCCATTATTAGTTTCTCTTGATTAAAATTATAGTAATGAGATTGCCCTAAACAATTGAGTCTATTGGATAGTAAGACCTTGTATGGATCAAGGCTTAGAATGATAAAAACTTTGATGAATCACTTGAAATGCTCACAATTAATGATGATATTCAAGAAAATGATGACAATAGCATCAAACAATTTCAAACTTGCAATGTACGTGTTCACCTAATGGATGACTATTATAGAACTCTAATTATTTAGGTTGCTTTCATATCATGCAAACACATCATATTTTTCAACGAAAAAGAAGTTCAAACAAAGAGATGCTTTTATGATGAAGCATCCAGTTTATGAGGGTAAATCTCAAGTTCTAAACTATTATAGACTTAATACCAGGTCAGTCTGGAGATTTGAACGGAGAACATAGCTAATTGTTTCATATATTATTAATTAAGGAGTTTAGCATCTTACATTTGAAATTCTTGTTTCTTCCCCTAAATGCCTTGACCATACATTTATATGATCACATTAGGAAATAAGAATTAATACTAAAAGGGTTCTGGTATATGTTCAATTGCTAAAACATCAGCCCCTAAATTCAATAGCATGGTGCCAGTTTCTCGTTTCTCTAGGACACTTGGAACACTCCAAAATGGGATCAATATTATTGCAATTCAAGACATATTATTAATTTAGTATTGGTATTGCAATGCCCAGATATATAGGATATGATGCCATTGTTAAGAGAAGTATTGAACCCTGCATAAATGCAACGGTAAAAAAGGGCACTTACTGAGAGTCTGTTAGGTTTTGGTTCGGAGTGGTATCCCAGTCCCACAGCACAGCAGACATCCATCCACTTACAGGCTATAGGCACAAGTCTTTCTTTGCACCTACTAGGAACCCAGTATAGAATCTGCAATGTTAACCATCAGCT